TCTAGCCTAACTGCTCTGGCTAGGATCTCCAGCACAATGTTGAAAACAGGGGTGATAAAGGGCACTCTTGTCTGGTTCCTGTTCTCAAGGGCAATGCTTCCCAAATCTCTCCATTTAGGATGATGTCGGCTGTTGGCTTTGTATAAATGCCCTTAATTATATTGAGGAAGTTCCCTTCTATTCCTATTTTGTTGAGAGTTTTTATCACGAATGGGTGTTGGACTTTGTCAAATGCCTTTTCTGCATCGATTGATAACATCATGTGGTCTTGTCTTTTATTTATGTGATGGATTATACTGTGAATTTAATTTTTAAATAAGTATGAGATTTAACTTTCAATACCTTCTAATATGGCATAATGGGATTTCTATTTTAACTAATATAAACAACGCAATTTTGCTTCTTTAGTGATGACTAAGCTTGAAAAGTACTTACAAGTATTTTGAAGACAGCATCTAATTACTCATTTCTCCCTATCAAATAATGGCTTCTGGATACCTTTATCCTTTGTATTACTAAAATGTCCTTAGCCTTTTGATTATTCTGATTTTAAGAGGACACTCTATCATGAGGTTTTTGGTTTTCATGGGTCTACTTTTATTCAAATAATTTAGTTCTAGGGAGGGTAGTGATGCTCTAGAATAGCACTATCCAACAGAAATATAATGTAAGCCACATATGTAATTCTAAATTTTCTAGGAGTTACATTAAAAAAGGAAAAAGGAAACTTTAAGTGAAATTAATTTTATTTCATTTAACCCAGTTTGTCCAAAATATCATTTCAACATGTAATCAGTATAAAAAAATTATTGATATTTTAAATCTTTTGATACTAAGTGTTTGAAATCTGATAGGTATTTTACACTTACAGAACATCTCAATTCATATTAGCCACATTTCAAGTGCTCAGCTGCCACATGTAGCTAGTGGCTAGTATTGGATAGTACAGCTCTACAGCACTTAAAAGTATTAAGTAATACTCAAAAGCAACTTTCATTAAGAAGTTTAGGTGAAAGTCACAATTAAAAAGACTTTCATAGAACTAGAAAACCCTAATAACCATAAAGATGCAACTTACAACATTCATGAGACTGGATGCAAAGCATCAACTTATTTTTAATTTCAGCTAGCTTTATTTTACCACATGCTTCCTTTTTCCATCGCCAGAAAGTGAAACTTCAACCCAGTCTAACCAAAATGATAAGCAAGTACTTATGATGACATTGTTAGTCACTATGGGTCACAATCAACTCGACAGCAATGGGTTTGGTTTTTGGTTTTAGATATAAGTCTATTTAGCATCTTAGGTATTGCATACAATGTAGAAGTTCTGTTTTTGAATGTAAAGACCTGAGTTAAAAAAAAAAAACTGCTTTGCCAAAAAAGGAACTTTTGATTTTTTTCAAACTGGAAGACACAGCAAATTACAAAAGCATAAAGCAAATTAATGAAAACATATGAACATGTCAGGTTAACACAACAGTAATAACAGATCAAGAGTAACTTAAAGATCCACTAATGAACACAACTACAATTAAAACCTCAAAAAATAGAAAGCTGTTTGAATTATAACATCTACTTTTTCTAAACATGACTGGAATATGTCTAACATTTTGTTCTAGCAATTTTCCAAACTTTAAAATTTGGAAAACATGAATCCCTAAAGCAACAAAATTGGCAATACAGAAAAATGGTTCTTAACAAGGTATAATGAACTCTATTTCACCCTCTTCAAGAGTTGAGTGTAGAAGTAAACAACATAAGGAAGGGACCTGAGTTGTGAACAGTGGTGTTGTAGCTTTTAAGACAGATTAAAGAAGGCAATAATGGGAGAATCCATGAGCTTTTCTTAAAGGTTCAAAAAGCCTCAACTAAATTTGTATATTTAATCATACTGGGGCTGCACAGGCTAAAACATTTTCTCTGCTTCTGGGTGAAATCATATCAATTTGGTGTTAATATTAGCTTTCTCAGGTTTTGGAACTTCCAAGTTTGACTAACACAAAAATGGAAAAAAAAGATTACTTAAAATAAGCAATCTGGGATAAAAAGTCGATGTATTCACAGTGGGATAAGGGACAGCAGGAATTAAAAGAAGGGACCTAGATACACAGTAGGAATTCAAAGAAGGGAACCTAGGTGGTTAAAAGAAAAATAAAACAGGCTGGAAATCACGGAATTAGATCTACTTATGTCAGTGATTACTTGAGACTATTCTGGTGTCATGGCTCTATCTGCGGGTATCTTAAACTCATCTTCTGTAAACCGAAGGATGAAAATAATAGCCACCCTCATCTTCTCCCTTCCTAAAAGCTAAGCACGGAGAAAAGTGGAGCCGCTTCTCGAGAAACAAAGATGCTTTCTACCAATCTTCTAAGATGGTGGAAGTCTCCTCAAGAAGCTTCCGCAAGGAGGAAAAATAAAAGAGGGAAAGAAGAAAGCCATAGCATTATTCACTGACTGTTTCATGCCACTACTCCTAGTCACATCCCCTGTGCAACCACTCTGGTCCGGTTATCTCTCTCCTGGAAGGTTAAGCCCTCCCTGGGCATTGTTTGCCTGGGGTCTCTATTTACCACTCAGATCGCCTCCACCATCCCTGCAGTGGGGTCTCGGGAGGCTCCAGGGCAGAAAAATGAAAAGCGAGGAGAGTACTGGGTTTTGAAAACCTTCTCCAAACGCCCCTCTTATTCACTGCTGTAGAAAAGGGAGGGAGAAAGCTGGCCTTTGCTTGGGTGGGTTCCTTAGGGGTCAGAAGCGTCCCCTTGGCCAGTGTCGAAGGGAGGTGGCCATTTGCGCTGTCTGCTCCGCCATCGAAAAAGCCCTGACAGGGCGAGGGGCCTCCTCAGGCCCCGGACTCCCGGCCGGGTCCGGGTGTCAGGTGCGGCCCTCAGTTCCCGACCATCGTGGCACCGGCAGTGACAGTACACAAGGCCCCGGCCTGAAGCCACTCTCCCTCCCGACTGCCAGGGACCTGGGATACAGACTGGGGCCCGAGCCGCATCGTGCCCGCCCCCGCCCTACCTGAGGGGGCCCGGGCGGGGTCGCTAAGGGCCGCTCCCGGGAGCCCCGCGACGGCGCGGCTCGGCGACGGAAGCGCCTCGTCTCGCCGGGGCAGAGCTCAGCGGCGGCTCCAAGACCTCAAACTCCATCGGGAGCTACAGGGACAGCCCCGTTGGCGGCGGCGGAGGCCGCGACGGGGCCTCCTCCTCCTCCCTCCGCCTCCTCCTCCTTCTCACCACCGAGGCGGACCTGGAGGGATCCCGACTTAGCTCTCGCGAGAAGATACTCCCCACCTCACGCGAGATCACGCAAGCCCGGGAGTTGCGGAGGTGGAAGAGCCCCCCGTTGGTCACGAAAATTGCGCTTCAGTTTCCCTCTGGTGGAGCTTAGCCACCCCGATCACGTGTCGAGGGAGACCCGGAGCACTGTGGGACGCGCTGTTAGAAGGACTCGGTAAGCCGAAGTGGTTGATGGGAAACTCCCTGCACATTCATGGGTCCTGGAATCGGCCTGATTGACACTGGTTCTAGGAGCAAGTGTCTTGACTTCTCTCGTGAAAAACGTGGTATCCATTGATTAGAATCTGGTACATCTGTGTTCCATTCTACTTCAAAAAAAAAAAAAAAAATCTATTGCCACCAACTTCATTCCAACTCATAGCGAACCTATAGAACAGAGTAGAACTGTCCCATAGGGTTTCCAAAGCTGTAACATCTTTATGGAAGCCGACTGTCACATCTTTCTCTTCCAGAGCTGCTGGTGGGTTTCAACCGACCTTATGGTTAGCAGCCAAGTGCTTTAGCCACTGCCCCACCAGGGCTCCTCATTCTACTTTACCCTTCCCCACTTAAATGCTGATCAGATCTCTCGGTCTCTCCAAGTAAGTGCTAGGAAATCTCCCAATTAAAATAAAAATGAAAGCATTTATTTGGCAGGCACTTCCACATACCTTATCTCTTATTAAAGAGAAAACTGAGCTCAAAAGCTAACAGGGATCAAAAACCAAGCACAAATTCTGGCATTAATATCTCAATATTTGTTGAATTTTTTTCACGGCATACATTAAGAAAAAAACTGGGACTAGGGATAAGGAAATTAACATAAGGAAGTCACATATGACTACTAAGTGCCAGGTCGTGTTAGGTAAGAAATATTTCATTTTTACTATTTTGTTTCATTTACTCCACAAAATAATCCTAAAAGGTAGATACTGTGTATTCTTTGCTACTGAGAAACTGAAGAACACAGGTTAAGAAAATGGCTATGAATTGTAATTAAACTTAAGGCACTTCCCAATGTGAAACCAGATGTCCAACAAAAGCATCGGTAGAAGTAAACCTACCACAAAGTAGAAGACAAATGGAAAAGTAGCTTATAAACTGTGAGCTTTAAAACAAAAAATATATATATATGGTCATTGCTGTTTGTGACAGGAAAATTCAGTATATTATTTTCTTAAAAGATTCATTAGCCCTGTCAGAGATTTTTCTTCCCATGCATTATCCTTTTCATTCTCTGCTCTTTATGAAATTCATCATGCCAGAAAAGTTCCCAACAATGGTTCATTTACTGTTTTCCATTCTACTGGACAGTGCTGGGTGCTGTGTATACATAATTGGTAATAGGATTTTTCAAAGGTGGCTTGACCGCCATATCAAAAATTACAATCCTATTCCCCCTTCCCTGGCATTTTCTACCCATTTTAGTTTTCTACAAACTCATTTTCAAAATCTGACATACACTGATTTTACTTGTTAGTTTGTCTCTCATCACTAGAAGTTCCATGAGAGCACGGATTTTTGTCTGTAAACCTAATTTTTAGTACAAGTACCTATTGTAGAGACTCAGTAAATATTTGTTGATGATTACCAAAACCAAACCTGTTGCCGTCAAGTCAATTCCAACACATACCAACCCTGCAGGACGGAGTAGAACCACCCCATAGGGTTTCCAAGGCTGTAAATCTTTACTGAAGCAGAATGCCACATCTTTCTCCCTTGGAGCGGCTGGTGGGTTTGAACTGCCAACCTTTCAGTTAGCAGCTGAGCACTTTAACCACTGCCCCACTAGGCTCCTGATTAAATGAATAGCCAGGAGAAATTGTTTCCTTCTTTAAAATTCAGACAGTAGACAAAACACAAAGCCCTCTATTCCCACCTCCAGTTTATTATTTCTTATGTAAAGACATGATAATTACATCCAAAGAAAGAAGGTTTTTCTTACAACAATGTAACAACTACCTCTTCATGATCTTTTATACATAAATGCAGTAAAGGAAGGGCTTGAACTCAAACATATCTTGCAGTTTCTTTAATATCAGAAACGTAGACAAAAGAGAATATTTTAAATGAATAAATTCTATAGTTTGCCATACCTGCATTTTAAAAAAAGATTCCATTTTCCTGAAATTGTTTAGACACATCATGCCAACAGACACTCTTCTAGGAATGTTTTGAGATCACTCTGTGCTACTGAACAGAAATAAATAATAATAAATAACATCCATCACTTTCACAACACAACCCTCCCCCACACACAAGTCTCAAAGTGCATTACAAAAAAATTTCACAACAATCTTACAAGGCACACATAAAATTTAAACATAGTTTCAATGGTGAATTGTTTTAAACATCCAAGATAGCAGATACAAGTTTCTTAAAAAACCATTTATTACTCTTATTTTGCCCTCTCCCTCCCACCTACACCCCTCCCTCCAAAAATTTCATCCTAGGAAGCAAAAATAAGAAAAACAATCACAAGTAAACTACTTCTGAAAGGGACAGATTTCCATGCCTACAAATGGCCAATCATAAGTAAAATAGGAAAGAAAATTAAGTACCGAGCTATCATGTTCTCCAGTGGAAGAAAAACATCATATACTTTAGAATAATTCTGTCTCCAATAGAGTACTCAAATACCAATTTTCATAAAGACCCAAAACTCTCTTCTCTTGCTTTTCTCCCTTCTCTGTTCTCAGGAACTTGGCAAGAATTAAATATAAAATCATAGATTTTTAGACCTGGAAAAAACTGTAGAAATTATCAAGACCTAAACTATTACTTTACATATGAAGTTAAGAGAAACTCAAGGAGAGTGACCTGATGTCACTAACTAGCGACCTGCGTCATAAAGTTAGTTTTCTCATCTGTAAAATATGAAAGTTGGATTCTCTAAAGTCTACTCCAGAGTTAAAATTCTATGCAGGGTATATTTTTAACAAAGGTATCACAAGAAGGATATTTAACATTCATAAAAATCAACATGATTTTTCACCAGTAAAATTCTTATAAATGGTACAAAGTATATTACATATGAAAATATGACAGGGCTTCAATAGAAATTAAATATAGCAGAAATTCTACATAAAATTGAGGTAAGCAGAGAAGGAATAGAACATCTTCCAAGTAAGATGTATCCATGTCAGGCTTTTTTACTGAAAGTAATTCCTGTGTTTAGAGAATATGATTTTCCCTGCAGTATATTTTAATCTTCGTTCTAACAACAAAAAGAGTTTTGTATTATATGTAGATAGGGATATTAGACAGCAACAGCTCATAACACAATCTGAAATTTTACTCTCACTGAGGTAACCATACAATCATGGTTTTGCTTTTGGCACATTTCTGGAAATAGAGAATAAAACTCTAGGGACGGTTGAGATTTTTTGTCAACACGTGACAGATGACAATCACATCAATGTAAATGAAAAAAACTGTAACTAAAATTTAAGAGGCCACTAATAAGCTACTCATGTTTAAACTGTTCATCCAGTGATAGCTAGAAAATTAACATATAATGCGGATTCAAAAGTAATAATAAAAAAAGGAAGGAACCATTGGTACACACAATATGAATGGTAAAAAAAAAGTCTCAAAAGGTTAAACCAAAAAAAAAAACAACCCATTGCCATTGAGTCTATACTCATAGCGACCCTATAAGACAAAGTAGAACTGCCCTATAGGGTTTCCAAGGCTGTAAATCTTTACAGAAGCCAACTGCCACATCCTTCTCCCACGGAGCAGGTGGTGGTTGGAACCGCCGACCTTTCAGTTAGCAGCTATAATTCCATTTATATAACATCTGGAAAACGCAAAATTATCACAACGGAGAACTCATCACTGGTTGCCGGAGGTTAGGGTTAGAAGGAAGGGTTGACTACAAAGGGGCAGCATGAGGGAATATTTCTGGGTGTTGGAACTGTTCTGTTAAAAGTCACAGAACTATACACCAAAAAGAGGTAAATTTTACTACATGTTAATTAAAATAAAAAGGAAACAATAAAACACATCACTGATAAATTTAGAATTTCTAAGAAAAGTAATTTTTCAGAGCTTCATGTCAACAGTATAATTTTACTGGCCACAAAATTATTCAATGCAACTGTATTAAATAAAATCAAGAAACTTGGGCCCAATTCACCACTTCTAAAATATGTATACTTGTAACTCAAGGAAATAAAATTATTTTAAGGAATATTAGTCCATGTATAAGGAAATTCTGCTACTCCCAAGTGAATCTGAATTGTGTTCCTTTACAGTTTAAACAACAGGGTCCTTTCTGTTTAGTTTAGAATCCAAGAGCAATTAGTTAAAAGTAAAAAAAAAAAAACAAAAAACACTACTTTTATCAGCTTTTAAAAGTGACTAGTAACCGATAATAGTTGTGATTTTAAATTGATTATCTTCCTGTTATCCTGATTCCTTAAAGATTTTGAATTTTACATTTAGTTAAATCAATCATCTAGAGACTCCAAATCAGAATCTGGAAATACTGTTGGACCCCCTTCTGTCACTAGAATCAAGAATATTTAAGAGAGGAACACTATTTCTGTAGTTATACCACTGGGATTTATAAATAACACATGAGGCCAAAGAGAACCTCATCAGCGTCTTCATGCCTCCCACAATCTTAGAACTGTTAGAAGTTCCGAAAGAATAACATGTATACCAAACCAAAAACCAAACCCATTGTCAAGTCAGTTCTGACTCACAGCAACCCTATAGGACAGAACAGAACTGCCCCATAGGGTTTCCAAGAAGCACCTGGTGGATTCAAACTGCCAACCTTTTGGTTAGCAGCCACAGCTCTTAACCACTATGACGCAAGTGTTTCCCAGTATGTATAGGCAGACGAAAATAAGACCTAAAGACAAGGGGGGAAATGCAATATTACAAATGCTGCATTTCTACAGAAAGACTTGGTCAAAGGAATATTAAAAGGCTTACGTAGCAAGTGTGTGATTCTAATTACAGTAGATTTTGCCTTTTGAGATCAGGCCTAGGTAGTTTTTCACCACTGCTTCTGCCATGGACAGAGGTTAAGTGCTTTTTGAGGGCAGATTTGTGCTTGAAATCCATGTCACAGCAGTGGCATTTGTATGGACGATCCCCACTGTGTATGTTCAGGTGGTCCTGAAGGGTGCTTTTGGCAGTAAATGTTTTCAAGCACACAGTACACTGAAAAGGCCGTATGCCCATATGCCCTCGAATGTGGCGGTTGAGATTTTTCTTCTGTGTAAATGTTTTTCCGCATTGTAAGCACAAGAAAAGTTTATGCATCTTAAGGTGGCGCAGATAGTTTTCAATATGAAGAAAGCCTCGAGGGCATCTGGGGCACTGGTGTCTCAGTGAATAACTCTCCTCAAGATTCTGAATCTCATTCACTGTACCATGACTTCCTTCAGTATTCTCACAAAATATGCCCTGGCCTTGATTCCCAGGAATTTCTGTCACTCTATTCTCAACTGTAGAATTGATCAGTGAATGCTGCGTTTCAGAGAAATACATGCTTGCTTTTGAAGAGGTACAAGGCTGTGAAAACTGCCCATTTTCTACACCAGCTGTACTGATTGATTCCACATGAAGGATACAAATTTCATTGTCTTTAAAGCCTATATCTACTGTAGACATCTCTGGTGACTTCATTTCTCTTCTTTCCGATGTCAAGCTCTCTACTGTAGACTGTAAAGCATTGCTTTCTTCTTCTTTAATGTGGAAATCCATGCTTACAGGACTATCTTCTGAAATTTCAATTATCTCACAATCTTTATCTGAATTTTCTTCTTCATTCTTAACATCTAGATTAGAGGACTGGCACAGGTCAGTATGCTGGTTGTTGTTTTTCATAGAAAGATCAATTTCCAGATACTTTGACAGAGCTTCTGTGCATTTTTCTACAATGTGAACCATCTGAAGATAACTAGCAGCAGTCAAATACTTCAAAAGTTCTTTCCTTTTAACTTCAAGTGCTCCAGTATAGCAAGAGAGCAACAATTTTCTGCCAACTTCTGCACTCTGCAAGATGGTGATTCTGATATGTTTTGATTGGGTAAGTAAAAACTGATCTCTCATGAAAGTGGAGCAAGCAGCCAAAATCACCTTGTGCCCCTGAAATTCAGTGTCATTAATATAAATTGATACATCACAAAACAAATTCTGCTGTCTCAAAAGATTCATTTTCTGCAAGACCACATCTCCTTGCTGTTCAAACTGGAAGTGTAGAACATCAGACTCAGCAGCCATGGTCACAATCTAAGCAAAATAAAACACATACTTTGATGTAAGGATGGGGAATGCTTTCCTCTACTGTGATGGTAAAAAAAAAACCAACCCCAAAAGTCCAAAAACCAAATTCTAATCTGGATGCTGAGAGTGAACCCCTATGCCACTGTCTTAAAACTCAGAAAATTATAATGCATTTCTCTGTGATCTCATAGCACATTTTTCATACATTTGCTACAGCATTTATCGCACTGAATTATATCACAATGAATAATTATATCACATAGAAAATTAAGTTTCTATTGTTTGTCTCTTGATAAATTTTATGTGCCTTATATGGACATTTTCTAAATTTTGAATACCCAATAACAAGCAGTACCCACCACCACAAAGTAGATTTAACATAGTATCCCAAATCAAATCAGACACCTTAATGTAATCTCCATAATGTAATTTCCAAAGTTCCCACTCCCCACTATTGTAGGTCCTCATTCTTTTCACCTAAAGCATTGCAATGCCTTCCATCAGGTCTCCCTGACAGCACACACTCCTATATTTCAAACTGCTCTCCTGATTGTAACCAGAATTCACTTCCGTTAAAACTTTTTTAATTTCGCCCTTCTGCTTTAACTTTTCCATGGCTCTCCTCTATCCCCAGGTCAGACTAACCAATCTCCTTAGTCCAGTATACAAGATCCTTCACGATCTGGCCCTAAGCCGTCTTTATAGTTTTATCTCCCACTATTCTCTATTTCATACTTGAAGTTCCTTCAGTATTGAATTTTTCAACATTGCCCACACAGGAAAGATCCGAATACACCTTTGCACATAATGTTTGACTCGCGCTTCTAATTCCTTTTTCCAGTTAGTGATTTGGCTCCTTTAAGGCCCAAATAAAATACTACTCCTGTGACTCCTCCTCCCATATTCCCCACAGAGTCTGTTGATCCCAGAGCAACATGAGACGGTGCCAGATTGGCACGTCCTACATCTAGCACAGGATTGGCAGAGCAGGCGGAGCTCAGGATCATCTGTTGAACTGAAACCGGATACCAAGGTGGCCTCAAAGATCTGTCCAGTTCGGCACACAGGTCTCCCCGAGCCAAGCCTGCCAGGGCGGAGGCCCTATCGGCCAAGTGGTCGAAGCAACAGATTAGCCACCCGGGACCGCGCCCTGCTGCCCTCCTCCTCTTCCTCACGCCTCCCCACTTGGCCAGTCTTCTTCGCGCTTACTCACGGACTCAGAAAACTAGTGAAGTCTTCCGCGGCTGCGGCGGCCCAAACCGGAAGCTGGACTGGGAGGAAACACATCCGGTATCAACCTGTTTTATTCTTCACCGGTCCAATCTGGGCGCACCGGAAGGACATCTTTAGACGTTCTCCCTTACTCACTCTACCTCGCCCCGCCGTCCTTATAATGACAGACAGCTCCCCGAATTCCAGCGAGCCCTATCCCTGCCCCAGTTTCGCGACGCAAGTCATTTTCCTTCGTTAAGTTCTCCCGGACGTCCTAGTTGGAAATGAGATGTGAATTGGGTACAGCGCATCGATCTAGAGTATACAGCGCCGGGTCGCCTGGGAGGCCCTTACGGATTATAACAAGCCGGGGCTTCCCGTTATTGTGGCCATCTACAATTTAAAAGGTGGTGGAGGGAAGGAGAGAGACTACCATAGAAATCTGTATTGGAGTTTGCTTGTTTAGTTCCCCTTCAGGATCTGGCCCTACCCTCTGGATCTAGCTTCACCACTCCTACTCTGTCGCTGCCCGATCTCCCCCACCCAGCCCCCCATCCCGGGCAAACCCAGCCTCTCCGAACCTTTGGACCTGCTGTTTCCTCTGACATACCCTGTTCTCCCACTTATACTTCAAAAACGTGTTCATAAATCATACCATCCCTGGAGGCTTCCTGAACTGCCCCTGAATTAGTTGGCTCCCATTTGGGAGCCTGTAATCCCTTTGCCTGCCTTCGTTATTGCATTTGTCAAAGCTATATAGAAATTATTTTGTCCCATCTAATTGGAGATATTCAGGTCTAGTACTTTTGTTGTTGTTAGATGCCCTAAAGTTGGCCCCCGACTCATGGTGGCCCCAAGCACAACAATGAAATGCTGCCAGTTCTGTGCTACCCCCACAATCGGTTGAGGATAGGACAGTTGTGACCTGCAGCGTTTTCACTGATTTTTCGAAGTAGATTGCCAGACCTTTCTTTCCAGTCCTGGTTAGTCTGGAAACTGCTGACACCTGTTCAGCAATGTAAAAACATACAAGCTCCAGTGACAGAGTGGTGGCTGCACATGAGGTGCACTGACCTGGTTTCTTACCTAGGTATCCCGCATAACCCAAAAAACTCGTTGCCATGGAGTCGATTCCGACTCATAGTGAGCCTACAGGATGGAGTAGAACTGCCCCATAGAGTTTCCAAGGAGCACCTGGTGGATTCCAACTGCCGACCTTTTGGTTAGCAGCCATAGCTCTTAACCACTATGCCACCAGGGTTTCCAGTCTCCTGCACAGGTGAGACTTCTACCACTGAACCACCACTGCCCCCTAGCACTTAGTAGACAATATTTACCGAATGAAGGAATATCTGAACCAATTCTTAAAGGCAGTTGCTAAACTCTAGCAATCAAAACGCTCTCAGGGAGTAACTGATCCTAAAACAACAACAAACAAACCTGTTGCCGTCCAGTCCATTCCAACTCGTAGTGACCCTATAGGACAGAGTAGAACTGCTCCGCAGGGTTTCCAAGCAGCGGCTCGTGGATTCGAACTGCCGACCTTTAGGTTAGCAGCCAAGCTCTTAACTACTGCGCCACCAGGCTCCATCTGATCCTAGTAACAATAACTTCTGGTTAACACAGATTTTCTTCTGGTTAACAGAGCTTTTCCCAGCATGCTTGATTAATATATGTTTTAAACAATAGGAGTGAAGAAGGCATTCTGGAATCAAATTCAAGCAACTGGAAAGGAAAGCGAGAGGAGAGAATGAGAAAATAAACCACTGATACCAGAGCTTTAATTATCACACTTTTATTAAGGAAACTTCCCCATAATAAGTGAAGAGGTAGTTCATAGTATGTCTAACATACAACAGATTTAGAGCAGCTATCACGAGCTGAAATAAGATGTTCTGGGTTGGTTATTTAGGACAATATTTTAGAAGCAGTGACACTAGTCACCCCCATTTATAGATCCTCTAATAAAAAAACTAAACAAATAAAACCACATCTGATTTACCTCAGACCCACTTCAGTTTGGAGTTTGCCTTTAAAATTAAATAATAAATACATAACTGTAGCACAGTAATTTATCTTTTTTAACCAACTATGATAAAGAGAGTCCTCTCCCTTTTTAGTTATCCTGGGGATCCATAAAATATGAATGCTGAATGACTGAAGTTTTAAAAATTCTCCTCCTGTACAGGAATCTGACTAGTTTTGAAAAGTCATCTTCCCTGATAAAACACATTTGATATCAGTAACTTGACCATTTTGCAATACAATCTAAGAAACATGTATAAACAAGGAGAAATAATTAGGTCCCACCAAAATTAAATGTCTCACAGAAACACAGAATGCCTCTCCAGTCAAGAAATGGAGGAAATTAAATCACTTTAGTGATTTGTATTTGCAAAAAGTGAGAATTAAAAGTTTTAATGAGACAAAACTATCAAGACGCTGATTTTAAGTAATCAAAAGAAAGCAACCCAAAACCCGTTGCTGTCGAGTCAACTCCGACTCACAGAGACCCTATAGGACAAAGTAGAACTGCCCCTAGTGTTTCCAAGGAGCGGCTGGTGGATTCGAACTGCCGACCTTCTGGTTAGCAGCCGAGCTCTTAACCACTGCGCCCCCAGGCCTCCAAAAGAAAGCAAGGCAGTTTTATTATTGCTAGTATAAAATCAAATTGAGACATTGTGTCACTAAGACCACGAGACTAAGCTCCATTAGGACAGGGACTGTATCAATCTTATCTTCATATCTCCAGTGTCTTGTATAATGCCTGGCAACAGTCAGGGCCTAAGAAATATTTCTTGAATGACTAAATGAACTCAGAAACAATCTCCAGCCAGAGTCCAATCTTATTTGAACCCATGCTTGTTAGTCTTCAGTTTAAAAACAACAACAAAAGAAACAGCAACAAACCAGACATAACTGAGGAAAAGAAGCACTCCAATTTGAAACTTCTCTGTGAAAAATGATGTTCAGAGAAAATGCAAAACATAGTGCCTCACTACTGCATAGAATGGGTACACTTTGGCTGGACCATATAAAAATCAGAATGCTAGGAGGCATCATTACACTATATAATGAGTGACTTCACTCATAAGGTACCTATTGGTCTTACCACTCAATTGGATTATTTTAAATCTTTGAACAAATGATAGAAATTATACCTCAAATCAAATTCATATGCAAATTCATCAAAGTATAACAACTTTAAGAATTCCCTCTGACTATACAAGTTAAGCCTAATTTTTGGTTTATCTGTGCATGCATTTTCATAGCTCAAAAATAAAAACAGAAAAGCCTAATGGAAACTAAATAAATGCTGTTTTCAGACAAAATCAGTTTCACATTCGGATCATACTCACATTATTCTAACTCGTCAATAATGCCCTTTCCTTCCCTAACCAATACCCAGCAAATCAGTCAGTTGCTTGGGAAGGGTGTAATACTCATTCTAACCAGAAAACAATTAACTAACATAAATAAATCCCTCTGTGATATTTTGTTCACAAAGTCTCAGAATTCCAACAGGAATACACAAAGGTAAAACACAAAGTTGAGAGCTTTTTGCTAGTGTATTGTTCTTGATCATGTACTAGATCTGTTTAAGCTGAGAATAGTGGGAATAAGTGAGGAAATATCAGCTCGTATTTAATAATGTATCTACCTTGGCCAGGCCACCTCTTTGGGCTTTGGATGTCCCAACTTAAAATGAGGAGGTGGAGTAAATACTCTCTTATGATTCTCTAAGGACTCTACAACTCTTATTATCTAAATCTAACTCGTGGGTTAGAAACAAGTAACACTCAAACTTTTATTTCTGAAGTATAACGTGCTGAAGACCAACTCTGTATTAGTGATCTATCAGAGGTGGGGAGGTGCAACTGTATACCTTTAAGAGGAAAATCTAAAGGCAAAATTTTGATTGCCCTCCTATGACTTGCTTAACTTTTTTCATCTATTTTAGAAATTAAGGTATACTAGGAGATGAGATTATTATAGTACATTGGACAAACTGATGGACTAACTAACCTTTCTTACGGCTCAACTTTGAAAAAAAGTTCTCCCGTTCCCATTGTCGTCCAGTCAATTCCAACTCATAGTGACCCTACAGGACAAGCAGAACCACCCCATAGGGTTTCCAAGGCTGTAATCTTTACAGAAGCAGATTGCCATGTATTTCTCCTGTGGTGGTTTCAAACCACTGACCTTTCTGTTAGCAGCCAAGTGCTTAACCACTGTACCACTAGGGGTCCTTGAACCAAAGTTCAACCCGTTAAACTCATTGCCATAGAGTTGATTCTGACTCATTGTGACCCTTTAGGACAGAGTAGAATTGCACCATGGGGTTTCCAAGGAGCGGCTGGTGGGTTTGAACTGCCGATCTTTCAGTTAGCAGCCTAGCTCTTAACCACTGTGCCACCAGGGCTCCGAAACAGTTTAGACACTCCCAAATAGCCCGTTTTTAGAGAGACCACTATACTTCAGCACATTTTAAGCGTGCCTGGAGCAATCCTGACTTCAAATGCATCAACAGGTAATTTACACATTAATTATAAATATCTGGCTTCTTGGTGGGATGTGCTACCAGGAATACCCCATGTAAGCGCTGTTGCTTAATCATACTTCTGTCTTCTGCTGATTATATTCCTCATGCTGATCCCTAACTAGGTGTCTGCAAGTGATGCTGAAATATTGTACTTTGGTTTACATGAACAATTCAAAGACATGAAGTTGGGCCATAATACTGTTGAAAAGAGTACAGAACAAACCAAAATACTTCTTTATAACCAACTCTAAGACAAGTACAAATGGTAAGAAGCAGATTCGTTCATTGACCAGACATAGATGAATCATCAACAGGCAACCAGAAGTTCTACCGCATATTCATTTCAGGTCAGTAACAATATCACCTTATACCTCAGCCTATTTTCTGCCAAAGAAAAATATTATTCACTTCTCTTAGCACAGCATGTATTAATGGAGAGTAGGTGATGTTATTAATTTGTTGGTATCTTCAGAATGTTCCCAGTGAAAAGCCTAAAATAGTGTCAGTCTGAAACACAAGTCAATGTTAGGTAGACAAATGGAATACTCCTTGGGAAAGGAAAACAGACATCACCAGATAAATAACTCAAAACAGAAAATGGCGTCAGGCAAAAGGAAGGCAAGACCATTCCATGCGGTAAGCTGCCTGATTAGTGCTTTGACTCGGCTCCCACAGCCTGAACAGAACTTTGGAGAAGTCAAACTAGCAAAGTCACTCTTACAAAGACTCAGACTATTGCCCCGTTCTCAGTCAGTTCTAGTAAGCATGAAGCCCCTATTCAATTCACACAAGTACTATCATTCCTTAAGTTCAGGACAGCTTGGGCCAGTTTACCTGCATCCAGGACCTGTGTTGCATCAGGCTGTGGCTGACACCCTTTAGAGTCTGTGACTGTTGTACATGCAAAAGAATCAAAGTCCACTGTGAGGTCTTGCACATTTCTTTCATTGGCATTATCAAAGCTGTTTTTGCCATGCAGCTGTTTAAGGTGTTTCCTCAAAACTGGCTTATGTGCAAAAACCATGTCACAATAGTTACATTTATGGGGCTTATCTCCACTGTGAAGGTTAAGATGATCCTGTAAGGAACACTTCTGAGAAAAGGTTTTCCCACAGATCTTACACTGGAAAGGTTTAATGCCGGCATGTACACGCATGTGTCGATGAAGGTTGCCTTTCTGAGTAAATGTCTTGCCGCAGAGTAGACACATAAAGAGTTTGTGCATTTTTAAATGGTTGGCGTAGTTTTCCAGGTGACGAAACACCCTGGTACACTTTGGACATTGGTGATGCCACTGTAGGCCTTTATCTACAACTCGAATATTAGGCCCAAAGACATCTTTTGAGGCCATGATGATATTATCACTGCCTGTATAAGAGAGGGCATAATTGTGGAGATGGTTTTGTTCTATTTCACTTACTCTGTTTTCCACAGTTGAATTTATCAGGGAGTGCTGGGGCTCTGATGAATGTAAAGCAGTGGGTTCAGGAGAAATAAACTGGTTTTGATCTTTTTTACTTCTAACCTCTGATACATCCCCAATAGATTCTACCTTAACAATCTGAATATCACTGTCCTCCATATCCATACTGTCTTCAGATGGATGAATACAAGGTGAGTCCTGCTTTGGGGAGCCTCTGGCATCTCCCTGCTGTTCTTTCGACTGGGGAGAAGCACTCTGCTGTTCACATCCCTCTTTACTATTCATTGGTTGCTTTGGCTTTATAAACTTCCACAGGGCCTGCGTGCATCGTTCTACAATGTGGCTCATCTGAAGAAAACTCGCAGCAGTCAAGTAATTTACCAGTTCCATCTCAGGGAATTCCAGCATACCACTATAACAGGATAATAGCAATTGTCTCCCCACTTCGGAACTCTGCAATATGGAGATTTTCACCTCTCTGGAATCATTCAGTAAAAACTGGTCTCTTAAGAAGGGGGAACCTGCAGCAAACACAATTTTATGCCCCTGTACCTCAATATCATCTATGAGAACTGTAACATCACAAAATTTATTCTCTTCTCTTAATTTGTTCATTTTTTGTAACATTGAATCTCCATAATTTTCAAACTTGAAGTGAAGGAGATCTGATCTTTCAGACATTTTGGCAGACCTAAAGAACAGAAATGTAAAAAGGTTGAATTTAAGAAAATTCAAACAATTAAGAAACCTGGATATACCTTCCAAAAACAAATTTGTGTTGTCATATCTGCTTGGATGTATCCAAATGAAATTCTCCTTGAAAGAGGAAGCTACTGTAACAGCTTTCAAATGCAGCTAAAAATTATTTCTTATCAAGTGTCAATTACACCTAAGGAGTGGACATGTATCAATGCAAACAGCTTGGCATTCATTCAACATTCTAAGATACTTAATACGAGAACAGTGCCCAAGTTAGTCCAAGAATATATTTTTTTCTTCTCAAATGAGAATTCTATAAGGTTTAAAAAACAAACTAAAATGTACCAGAGCCAATAAAGATGAAGTAACTACTTTCTTTGCAGGAAACTGGGAACATGTTTCTTCTAAGGCAAAGCACTCTTTTGGTGTGCTTTGTATTTTAAAGAACTGAAGCCACGTTGCTTGCCCTATTCCTGAGCAAACCCCTCTGCTGTTTAAACTGATGTGAGTTTATTCCAACAAATATTTCTGTAATAAAATGAAAATCAGACCTAAACGTACAAACTTTGGACAGTGTCAGAGGCACAGTTCCTTATTCTGTGCATTCCAGACAAATCTAAACTCTCTTTTAAGAAACGTTTCTTGATATAGAAAGAAAAATACTTGATATAGAAAAATCAAGTGAGCCAATTGGTGGGATTCTGAGTACAAGTAATGTGGATGTAACCAATCCCTACTAGATTCCGTTATTTCCTCTGCTCCATCCATATGCATCCATCATTACTCATCATTTGGACTACTAGAATCTCTTCCTAAATATTTTCCAGGCTTATACTTTGCATTCCCTCTGATACAACCTCTACACCACCACCAATCATCTTTCAAAAACACAGATCTGATTGTATCCCACCCTGCATAAAATCCTTCAGTGTCTTCCCTTTGCCTCCTGGATAAAGATTAATCTCTCGAGTATGAACTGATTAAGTAAACATTTACATTAAGGAAAAATAAAAGAACTTAGAGCCAAATTTGTGTCACTGAGCTGTATAGCTATGATTTGTATACTTTTTTGTATGTCTTTTCTTCTTAAATAAAAGCTTTGTGTTTAAAAATAAAAACAGAAGTACAACTTAAATAAGGTATAAGCTTTCCCTTTGTATGACATTGTATGACGTACAAAAAATGAATAATTACAATAAAAACTGTATTGAGAGAAGGAATGTAGAAAAGTAAATGTAGGATCAGAGAAAAGACAAACCAATTTTTACTAAGATGATGAGTATCAAATAAGGAAATATCTAGAAGATACAGGGACTGTATTGGTAATTTAAAGCAACAAAACTGTATAATCACTGGTCAGTCTCAGCAATTATAGTAGTTTCACATATTCGTGAAGCCCTGGTGGTGCGTGGTTAAGAGCTATGGCTGCTAACAAAAAAATCAACAGTTCGAATCCACCAGCTGCTCCTTGGAAACCCTACAGGGCAGTTCTACTCTGTCTTACATGTCACTATGAGTTGCAATCGACTCAACCGCGAGTCTGGTGTTTTAGTTTGGAACATATTCATTCCTGAAACAATGAATGTTCCAATTTATAACCAGAAGTTATAATAAAATGATTGTTGTTTCAAGTGGCCAAACAAGAGTGGCATTCTTTTCGAGAGTTTACCTGGTCCTGAACGCATTAAAGCTGACCATGATCATCATCAAGTCAGTATTTTCCTCCTCACACCCAAAAATGAGTGTTAACTGCTTCCACTATAAGACAGTACTCCCAATGCTTTAGACAACTATTTTCAGGGACAACTGTTCCTTGATGCTCTAAAGATAAAGAGAGTATGGTTTTGTTTACTTCCTAACCATCAGTTCTCAAAAAATTATCCAAATATTGAAAGTCACAGGAACAAAGTGGCATCCCAAGAAAGTGCTTGCTTTGATCTGCTGTAGTCCAAGAACGTGAGAAAAATTTACTCCGTTTATTTTAGGAAGTTTTCCCTAACGTGTCAGTCTACTCTGTTGTTTCCCTTTGATAAGCTCTTATTTCCAGGCCAGCCACACAGTTATCCTTTGTTTCCTGTCACTAGTTTCTCTTCCTTAATAGACTGTTAGTTACTTGGGGGCAAGGACCAACTATTACTCTTTATGTAACTCATTCAACAAAAATGAGCAGAATAATTAATCCTTAGTTTTCCCTATGAAATTATTACTGAGCTATGGTGGAGATGCTCTTTATTATCATGATGTCCTCTTTTGAGTATCCTGGGGAAAATTTCTTTCTGGGATTTATTTCCAAAATAGTTTTGACAATGTAAAACCAAAATTTAAACTACTTTTTTAAAAAAACCTTTTTTAAAATAAATTAAAAAGGAATAATTTTATTTAAGAATAAGAAAAATGACAGGTAACCTTTAGTGAGTCCTTACTAGTTGCCAGGAATAGTGCTAAATGCTTTATCTAAATTGACCCATTTAATCCTTAAAATCCCTATGAGATAGGTATTATTATTATCCCCAGTTTGTATCTGAGGTAACTCAAGCTTGGAGAACATAAATAACTCGCCCGACTTAATAGAGGTTTAAAGCATTAAGTGTTAGAGCTGGAATTTGTGTCCAAACTGTGTAATGCAAAGATCTACGCATGAAACAACTAGACTACAGTTTCATCTTACGGGTAATGTAACTGTGTAAATGTTCAGATTACCCTCTTCATATTGGGTATTATAAACACAGAGCCAAGAAAATCCACTGACCTGTACACTTACGATTTGTATACTTTTGTGTATCTATATTATGCTTCAATAAAAGGTTTACATTAAGGAAAAATAAAAGAACTTAGAGCCAAATTTGTGTTACTGAGCTGTACAGTTATGGTTTGTATACTTTTTTGTATGTCTTTCTTCTTAAATAAATGCTTTGTGTTTAAAATTAAAAACAGAAGTAGAACTTAAAGCCAAATTTGTGTCAAGTACAGAAGACTTTAATGGTAAGCCATTTATGTATGTCATACTCCTGATTGCATTTTATGCCCTTATCTTTGTTGCCCCTTCCTTTCTCACTTATTTTAACTTTGTTATTTTGCCATCTTTTGTCTGTTCATCTTTGTAGACTGTAACTTAATACCATTTACAGATGAAACAGAGTAAGAATTATGAACATACTCAACTTCAGAATCCCAAACTGTAGGTAACTTCTAAATATAGTAATAGTTATTTACAATATTCATAAAAATCACTCACATAATTCTAGATTATAGCAGTTTCTAGTAACTGAAAGAAAGTAAAGAACCGATCAAGTTCAATAGCGATTTGGTCACCATATTCTGTTCACTTTATCCTTGAAATGACTCCCAAATTAGTTCTTTCTCCATTCTTACTGTCATTTTCATGATTCAGGTCCTTACCATCTATTGCCTGGGGCACTACAAGGGCATATTAATTCTTCTGTTCCTGCCCCTTATCAAGCCCCCATTACACTATCAATATTTTTCCAGACAGACCTAATTTTGCCACTGCCTATTTCTTCATTAAATAGGCAAGCAACTCTTTTTGAAAACTCACTAAAATTGTTTTTGAATTACTCTTTCACTATGGATATTCAATCTTCAAAGCCTAAGAGATCGGGGGCTCGTCCAATTTGTCCTCAAAAGAAATTGAGAGAGCTGCTGAAGACAGGAATGGAACACTACCAGCTGAGTTCCTGACAAAAGGAAACAAATCAGAAGAGCACAGGAATAAGCAACAGTAAAGAGGTCTATGCTCTAAAGTGGGCTCTATCTCATAACGTGCTGCAAGACCTGAAATAGGTCAGTTTATCTCTCTGCATCTACATGATTATTAAAGTCTCTTCAGGCCCCAAGGTTCTAAAATCCTTACTTGAAGAGACAAATGGTATATCCTGAATACCCAGACTAACACCCATTGCCATTGAGTTGATTCCGACTCATAGACACTGTACAGGACAGAGTCGAACAGCCCCATAGGATTTCCAAGGCTGTAATCTTTATGGAAGCTGACTGCCACACTTTTCTCCCACGGAGCTGCTGATGGATTCTAACCACCAACCTTTTGGTTAGTGCCTCAGGGCTTAAACCACTGCACCACCAGAGCTCCTACTCAGACTAATAACCCCTTGCCGTTGAGTCGATTTCGACTCATAGTGACCCTAGAGGACCGAGCAGAACTTCTCTATACGGTTTCAAAGGAGTGGCTGGTGGATTCGAACTGCCAACCATTTCGGTTAGCAGCCTCAGCTCTTAACCACTGCGCCACCAGGGCTCCACTCAAACTAATAAACCAAAACCAAACCTGTTGCCACTGAGTCAATTCTGATTCATAGCAACCCTGGAGGAGAGAGCAGAACCGCTCCATAGGGTTTCCAAGAAGTGGCTGGTGGATTCAAATTGCCGACCTTTTGGTTAGCAGCCGTACCTCTGAACCACTGCACCATCAGGGCTCCTACTCAGACTAATAGGAAGGCAAAAAAAAAAAAAAAAAAAAAAAGCAAGAATCTTTACCATCATGTTGTGTGTCTCCTCTCAAGAACGCACTAACTAGATAATAGGAATCAGAACAGTAGTCAGTACTTGCCTGGAGGCAAAGGGTGGGGGAGATACTGGAACAAAGGGATCTTCCTAGGGTGATGAAAGTAATGTTCTATCTCTAGATTTGGATGTTGGTTACAACTTATCAAACTATATTTAAGATCTGTGCATTTTACTGTACGTGAATATAAAGCAAAAAAGAAAGGGCAAAAAAATCCACTCGAGATATTTCCTCAGCAATTAAATCTGAATACTGCTTAGTTTCTATTAGCAAGTTTTGAATGTACTATTTCTCAAACATAAATGTAATAGGAATAGTCTCACACAAGATCACTTTTTCTTTGTTTATATTTATATAGTTCTTCCATAATTACTTCCACAATAAATGTGTCAACTGATTTGAAAATTTCCCTTTGTTCAAACAAAAGTAATCCAAAAAAGAGCAGCAAATATTCTAGGTCAGACCATGTTCACTGCTGTGCTATGGGCAATGAGAAAGTTCCCAAGTTTCTTATCTCAAATGCTTTAGTAACTACTGACAAAGGAAGATTTTCTATTCTGTATAATAAGGCTGTATGTCAGTCTGTTTCTCACCTACCTTATCTTTCACGTTAGCTCTCCTGACTACTTTGAAATCTTCTGCTTGTCCATTGTTGACACCATAAGTTATTTTTCAAAGAGGTAGATTATACTACACTCTTTATATAAACCTGAATCCTCTTTTTCTTTTGGCTAACTTTCATGACACTATATTCTCCAAGTTCTCATTCTTTTGTTTTTGTTTTGACTTTTACCTGTAAGTAATATATACAGGAATATATCCTTCCTTGAAAAATTTTGAACATTGTAGACAAAGTAAAAGTCCCTTTACCCAGTTGCCTCCACTCATTACTCTGTTCTAAGTTTGGTCCTTCCAGACTTTTCCTCCCGCCCTTCCCTTTTAAAACCAACACTTCTACGTGCTAACTATAGAAAATATAAACACTTGTTTCTTATACATAAACTATCCATAGTTTTGCAATTTGCTTTTTTCACTTACTGTTTTTCAGAGATATTATGTCGAATAAATATAGATCCAATTCATTCTTCTTAAACTTTTGTGTAGAAATGTGCAAGTTACTTAACTATTAGCCTGTTTTCCACTATTCTTTTGCTAGTCTGTTCCTCAAGCTTCACTAAATTATGTTGTTATTGTTAGTTGCCATTTGGATAGTATATCCTTGAAACTCAGTCCTTGATTTTTTGCTATGCTTTTTCAAGGCTTACCGTCTCGAAAAGCCTGTCTGGTTTCTCAATGTTTTATTACCATCTATATGTTAAAAATTCCTAAATCAACATCTCCATGGTCAACCTTAACCAAACTTAACTTCAGTTCAAGCTACTCAAAAATACCTCCACTAGGCTACTTCTTTATCACTTCAAATACATGATGCCTAAACTTACGCAGTGTCTAAAACTCAGTAAGTCAAAAACCAAGTGTATGGAGAATGGCCTGGGAGCAGCAGATGTGGAGGCAAGGAAACTGTTGGTATGCTATTAAGACAACAGATTAAGACAGAAATGATGAAGGCCTGAACAGAGACAACGACAATATGGATGGAGAGAGTAAAAGATACGAGAGGTATTTCAAACAAAGAACCAGTGGACTTAATGACCAAAGTGGGGAACAAAAGAAGGGTCAAAATAACTTCAAAATACTTGGTTTGAGTGGCTGGACATCTTTGACTGGGTGTCACTGACTAAGCTAGGGAATACTGTAGGGGATGATCATGAATCTGATCTTTAAAATGTTGAGCCTGAGAAGCCTGTATGACATAAACATGAAAATCCATCATTAGTTGCATATATGGATCAAAGCTGAAGAGGAGACCTGATTATACATTGTAAGTGACAGATGAAAGCACGTGAGTGGAAGAAATTCAGAGTGGAAGATGATCTAAGACAAAAAGAAAGAAAAAATATATATAAATAATATAAATCCATAACTTACCTTCTTCTCACCCTGGGTCTCCTTCCAAGCCTCTCCATTTTTTATCAATGAGCCTATCTGTCCTTGAGTTTTTCCCACTCGTTTGACTCCCATATTCAGTCACTACATAGTCAGGGAGTAAAACCATGGACTGCAGAGCCAGATTTCCTAGAATCAAAACCCTGCTCACTCATTTATTAGCTGTGTGACCCTGGGCAAGTTACTTAACCACTCTGTACTTCAGGTTTCCCATCTATCAAATGGTAATATTACTTCATAGAGTTGTTATGGAAAATTAAATGAGTTAATGTTTTTAATGAGCTTAGAACTATACTGAATATGTGGTCTCTAAACATTTGTTATGTAAATAAACAAAGCCTGTCAATTTGCTTTATAAACTCCTTCATATGTGGCCATTTCTCATTCTCATTTAACATCAAACCAGTTGAGGTGCCCATTATTTCATAGATCATCACCTCATCACTCTCCTAAAATTTTGTAATTACCTCTTAATAATGAAATGCAATCTTTTTCTTCTCTCCCCTCATTCTTCAAACACTCTGCATGAATCGACCCAATGGACCCTCCATGTAATTCTCTTCTTTTGATTTCTGGGACTTCTTGGTTGTTGGAACTCTGTATTCTTACGTGTCATCTCCTACCTCTGTTTCTGCTATTACCTTGACTACACTACTAGCTCCTCTTCCTCTACTTCATAAATGTAACCATTCCCCCAAAATATTTCCTTCCTTCTCAACACTCACTTCCTGATGTCAGCTATTCGCATGACTTCCACCACTACGCTGATGACTCAAACCTCTACCTCTAGCCCCATTTACTCTAAGCTCTAAATTTGCATTTCCAACGCTATGCTGGACAGCTACATATCAATATCCCATTTAAACCTTTAATTCAATATGTCTAAAAAATGAACTTGTAATCTACAGTAAGCTTATGTTTTTATTTCTGATAATGGCATCATCGTTCCTCAAATGGCAAAGGTTTAAAACTTAGGAATCACCTTCCATACGTCTCTCTCCCTCAACATTCAATTAATTATGGAGGGTTGACACCATTCCCTTTCCATTCCAACAACTCGGTCATAACTCTATCTCAGGGTTTCATTATCTCTCATCAGGCTGATCTCACTACCCCTTCAAAAGGATGTCTAATAGGAGTCCCTAGACTTTAGCTAAAGAGTCCAGAATCAGTTAATGGAAATTCTTTTTCCATAGGCTGACCTCCAAAATAAAATGGTTTTGCACAATGCAAATCTGACCATATCACAGTCTCTTGCTCAAAACTCTTCAAAAAATACCATCTCCTTTAGGATTAGGCCTTTCACTATTTAGACTTCAGTCTACTTTCCCAGCCTCATATCCTATCCTATGACATTCCTCATTTCCTTTTCTTCACACATAAGTTATGCTTAGTTATTACCCCATGGCATTACAACTGTTCCTTCTGCATGAAAAGCTGTTTTCCACCTTATCCTCTTGAAGAAGTACAATTCTGATGTCACTTTCTCGTTGAAGCCTTCCCAGCAACTGCCTTGGAGTCCATACATATGTGATGGATACATATATCCTATGAGCAGTTATTTGTTTATATCTGGCTCCCAAACTTCACCTTGGAAACTGGAAGGATATCTTACGAATCCCAGTGCCTGGCATAGGGCCAGTCATATAAAAGGTGCCATAGTCACTTGCCGATTTGAGGGGAAACCCAAGAAAAAGGGTAACTTAGGTCAGCATTCCTAGTGATTCTCACGGGCTAGCACTGAGGCCTTGCCTTGAGCCAGGTCCCGGAGCTCGTCTTCCCAGGGCCTCAGCTCTGGCGCCTTTTACAAGATGCCAGAGTCAGGTGTCCAAGCCGACTCCTGGGTCCTGGTCTGGGGTCCCAGAAGGCGGTCTTTGAGGCGTCGTCAGGCTCCCCACTCCAGAGTCTAGGAAGGGAAAGGGGCGGGGCGCCGCGTGGGCCGGGCCAAGAGCTCCTTAACTCCCCCGGGGCCTAGGCCAGCCCCTGTGTCCCCATTCCTGTGCAGGTCCCGGCCGATCCAGGGCCCCAGGGGAGCTCCATCTTGAGAGACCCCGCACCCCCGCCCGGCGCTCCGTCCACCTCTGCACTTACAGACCCCGGGAAAGGCCGCTGTCAGTATTCGGCACCGCCAGGAGCTCCGGCCCCTCGGGGCTCCGGGAAGGGGGAGGGGCAGGGTACCCGAGCCAAAGGGGGACCCAACGGAACCGGAAGGGCAGCCCTCGCCGGACAAAGACAACTTCCAGGTCCCATAGTCTTCTCCGCCAATCGGAATGCTCAGAGGGCGACGGGGCCCCGAGAGGGACTTTCAGTACTGTGGACGGAGCGCGGGTTGAGTGCTGGGGTCTCCGGTGGAGGCGTTTCCGCTAGTTGTTGCTAGGTGCGGCCGCTCCTCGGCGTCTGGGGCTCAGGACCGTCGTGCTACGCGAGGACCAGCTGTTCCGGGCCCCGTTCTGAGCGGCTTCTCTGGAGCCCTCGGCGTTTGTTGCCTGCGTGGGCCTGAAGGGCGCCTCCGCGTTTACGCCTCGGTAAGTCCCTCCCGCCTGGGGGTGTGGACTCGGCGGGTGATGGGCCTTGAAAGCAGGTGGCGAGTTGACTCCCCTCGCTTTTCGATTTGGTGTTTCCCAAGGATCCTGCCTCGAGGTTCTCCCCCTTGCTTACGCACTCGAGAGCGATCTCTTGCATTGCCGTGGCTTCGGTTACCAACTACGTGCTGACCGTTTACAAATCTCTTTCTCCAGCCCGGACAGCTCTCCAGAGCTCCAAATCCAGCTGCCTAGAAGGTATCTTCAATTGGTTGTCCCAATGTTAATGTATCTCTTAATTATCTCAAGTTCATTTCCAAACTTGCTTCTGTTCCTTTCCTGTTGTCATTGTGTTGGTGAACGTCATCATCTACGCAGTCCTCCCGACCAGAAAACTTGAGTATCGTTTTTAGAAACATTTTCCCTCTTCTCCTTCCCAGTCCAATTGCTCACTGGCTTCTCGCTGTTTCTTTTTTAAATACCTCTCGAATCCTGTTTTCTCTGTTTCCTTTCTACCGCCCTACTTCAAGTTTTCTTGGTATTAGGCAGCCTCCAAACTTTTATCTGCCCGTTGTTTTGCCTCCTCCACTGGTACTACAATGAACTTTTTAAAAACTTAAATCTTATGTTGTCACTCTGAGAGCACCCCAGTTTCTAAAGATTGAACTTCATTTTCCTTATGTTAGCATTCAGACTCCCGTTCTGGCCCCAACCTACCACATCCCTTCATCTCACACCAGCGCCATATTCCACCTCCACACACACTAACTATATATTCTAAGGTGCTGTCAATGAGTTGAGCATATTTGAAAGCCAAAATTACTGAAAATGAATAAGGTATTATTATATATGGTATTAGTGCTGAAATGGACTGTATGTCTATATTAAAAACGGAGTGCGTGGTAACAGCATATATGTTCACCACTAGTCCAGTGGTGAACATATAATCATTAATGGTGTGTCAACCAGATGTTATGTATTGCGTCTAATGTAAACATGGAGTATAAATGTTTGACCTGAATCCCAGAATGTTTGACTTGAATCCCAAAATTTTTTTACATAGATTCATTGAGTCTTGAGATGTAACTTCCAGTTTCCAGGAAATACAAGGTCAAGAGAAACAAACTCAATGACCTTGAGGAAGCAACCATTCAAATCCAGAAATAAGAAATTTTTCACTTCAGGAGGCCTGTATCTTCAATAAGCCAGTGTCTTTTTATTTTTTTTCCTGAAATGCTAGATGTAAAAACTTAAGAGACATAACAACCACATGCAATGTGTGATCCTGGATTGGATACTAATTTGGAAAAGCTAGCTGTAAATATATTTGGGTCGACAAAATTTGAATATAGTTAAGTATTTGGTGAGAGGAAAGTTTATTGAAATGATGCTGCTGATTTGGGAAAGCCAGCTACAAAGGATATTTTTTGGGTTGACAAATTTTAAGTATGATCTAGAAGTTAGATGAGAAAAAAATTTACTGAAATGAATAGGTAGCTATTAACTGAAAAATGCAGAGTTCTAAGCAGTGTGATCTCATATTGAAAAATATGTATATTCACACACAGAATATGCACTAAAGCGTTAACAACAGGGGTGACCTCTGAGTAGTGGGAATGTGATGTTTTTATTTTTTGCTTGTCTGTATTTTCTATTTTTATCCAACACGTGTACTGATTCTCCAATAAAATTTTATTTAAAAAACTGTTTTAAGATTTACAGATAGATTTGGTATGTACATATGAATAAGAAATACATGAAAGAATAGACACGAAAATATTAAAAGTGGTTTTGTCAGGGCAGGATTTCAGGGGATTTTTTTTACTTTCTTCCTAATAGTATATCTACTATTTAAATACTTTAAAATAGGTATGTGTTATTTATATAATGCGAAAAGAAAAGTATTTTGAAATAGACGAGTTCCAAAGACGGCCTGCAACAGATCACACCTTTTTCTTGGTTTTTCCCTGGTTGATTGGGATGCAGTATCCACTGAAAACATTACAAATGACTCATTCACCAGGAAAAGAGGATATACCATTTGAATAAAGAAAGGGTAAGAGTAAGGGAAAGCTGTAGAATTATTTATAACTTATCAAGGGCGAAGTAATCATCAATGATTGTTACCGTCAATAATCATTGTTATGTATACATCCAATTTTCCCCCAACTACATTTTAAATTCCTTAAGGACAAAGACTTTAAAAATCTTATTGCTTTTGCTCCGTATTTCAGTTTTCAATGATTTTTGAATCAAACCTCAGCCCCATCTTTGAGTAACATTCCGAAACAACCTTGGTCAGCTGTGGCTCAGGTATCTCAAGGCAGCTCTGTTGTAGGCAATGACCCTGGAGTTGGGAGTCAAAGTTTTGACTTCTAGACTGGATTCTATAACTTATGCTCGACTCCTTTGTAAAACGAGAAAAATCATACTATTCTCAGAGCTTCTGCTAAAGCCGAAACGAGATCTCGTAAAAGGAGCTAGCACAATCCCTGTTACACTGCTAAGTGCCGCTTTTCAGACAGCACTTTATGAGCATTGAACGATGAATCCTTGTTCTATCACCGACAAGTACTCTTTGGAGTTGGACCTCCTTTTTGGCTTAACAGATGCTACCCAACAGGCGCTTTCCCAGCCTGTCCTGCTCCCATAGCCAGTGGTTAAGAGCTCGGCTGCTAACCAAAAGGTCGGCAGTTCGGATCCACCAGCCGACCTTTTGTAGCGCCTATGGCGCAGTTCTGCTGTACCCTATAGGGTCGCTATGAGTCGGAATCGACTCGATGGCAATAGGTTTTGAGTTTGGTTCCGCTCCCAGTCCCTGCTAGAGTCACATTGCTGCCTGCCCAAGCCCAAACACTTCCGGAGCACAGCCCTAGGCTGTGCAGCCAAAATGCAGTCTCCGCACAAGCGCCGACATCTAAGGCGCTTTGGAAGCCCAGGCGGGGCTTCGAGTAAAAGAAGCCCCCGCTCGTCCCCTATTTTCGGGCCAATGTGGCCGCTCCGCTTAGCCGCGGGCCTATGAGACGGGGCAGAAGGCGGGGCAGAGGGCGGAAGGAGCCTCTCTCACGTGAGTGGGGGGTGGGGCCGACGGGGGGGAGGGCGGTTGGGAGGCCGAGGCAGCCGAGCCTCCGGTACCGCGAACGGCGGAGGAAGAAACGGCGGGTAGGGTAGGGCCGCGTTTCACCTCTTCCTCCCACCCTCTCATCCACAAACCCGGGATTATCTTCTGACGGTTCTTGCGGGGAGCCAAGCTGTCTTCTCATCCCGCGGGGCTGGGCCGGTGAGGCTGAGCTTACCTCCCTCGACGGGCCGGATTCTGAGGGGAGCCGTGATTGGGGGGAGGGGGAGCTGAAACGGAGGGGAAACGGCGCATGCGCAGGCACGAGTGCTCGAGGAGCCCCTGCCCAAGGCGGTTCACACTGTCTATCTCGGTGTCTCCTTCCCAGGCTTGCCTGTACGGCCGTCCCACTGACCCCCCAGCAAAGCCGGTTTGTCCCTTGGCTTTCATGTATTGGCTCTAGTCCTAGTCAGGAATCTGGCCGCCCCCTCCGCCTCAGTTTCTCCCGTTGTCTCCCCATTGCCCGCTGGGCCTGTATCTGTGACTTAGGCTGGCTTGGGCCTTAGGCTAGCTTCCTGGGCTCCGCGTAATTTGAAAAACTTGCTTTCTTTCAGTGTCGCTGTGCCATCTTATGTTGGTGTTTCTCATTTTTCCTGCCTGCAATTAAAGTGTCCCCGGCATTGCAGTCTTCGCATTTACTTGAAGCATCTTACCCCCTAGTAGCTCATTGCTGTTCTCATCTTTTGATTCTCAGCAGCCTTCAGGATGCTAGCTGTTGAGCCAGATAACCCCAGGCTTCCAGGAGTTCGCTGTCCGCTGTTTGGTAGTATTATGTCCGACGCTCTTCTAACATGCACACTATTTATATTTGCTACCTGCTCCTGTTCTTCGGAGCATCTCTATACCTGTGGTTACTCGTGGATTATTTTAAAATTTATCTTGGAAGCAAATGTCCTAGGAGACGTTAAGTAATCATCCTACTACTACTCCGTTATTTTAAAATTACGTTCCAACTTAAATTTGAGATTTATTTGGTTGTTGTCGTTTTTAATCGGGGTTTGAGGGAGCTGTCAAGGACAGGGTTTCACAGTGCATTTACTATTTTCATTCACGTGAACATCTGTATTCACGTACATGTGACTGCAGTAGTAAATCGTGTTTGTGGCTGTGTTTCCAGCTGCTCTCTTTAGGAAGAACAAAAGCCATGGAGGGCGAATGGAACTGTATTTGTCATTAACTAGATGTTTGAAAAATAGTTGGTTTTTTTTTTGGTTTTTTTTTTTTTTAAAGCAGTGGTTAAGAACTCGGCTGCTAACCAAAAGTTCGCCAATTCATATCCACCAGCCGCTCCTTGGAATCCCTATGGGACAGTTCTGTCCTATAGGGTTGCAATGAGTTCGAATCCACTCGATGGCAATGGGTTTGGTTTTTGGTTTACCAAGGAAGTGCACATCCAGCTTTCTTTCTTTTTTTTTTTAAAACAAAGGACCTGTTGCCTTAATTTGATTTTGTATAGCGTGGTATTTTAAAGTATATAGAAGGTTTTTAAGTAGACTTATAAACACTCAGAATGAATAGGTGAGAAAAATCTTTATGATCTTCCCTTGTAGACTTCCGTTTGCATTAATAAAATTTG